GTGTGTGTGTGTGTGTGTGTGTGTGTGTGTGTGTGTCCGCCCTCTCTTGCGGCTGCGCAACAAGGGAAGCTGTGGGCCGGGATGGGGGTGGGAGGCAGCTTCCTTATTTCCCAGGCCGTTTCATCCTCCTCTTTTACGGCCAGGCTTGGCGACAGCCCCCTGTAATTACCCGGAGCCGGGACGCCGCGGCAAGTCCGGCGCTGACCCGCTGGGAGGAGCCGGCGGCGGGGGGCGGCCGGTGCTGGCCTTCGCCCTCGGCCGTGGGCTCGGGCTGCGGGAGGTCCGCTTCGCCGCGTTGATCATAAATATTTACCGAGCCGTCCACGAGCTGCCGGGTCACGGTCGGGCTTTGCACACCGCCACCCGCGTGTGCACCTGCCGGAGGCGACGTGCCCAAGCCCCACGTAGCTCGGAGGCGCGGCCGGCCCCACCCGCCCAGGCCGAAGTCTATCGGCCGATACGCCACAGGGTCACACCTCACGCGCTTTTTGCTCACCGGGGTGGACACCTGGGTGTCGGTCACCCCCCGTGTCCCCCGTGGGAGCACCACGTCCCAGCTCGCGTGTTCCAGAGACTCGAAGCTCCATGAAGGCAGGGATTCGGGCTGGTGCCCGGCCGCCTTGCCAGCGTCTGGCACAGCTGCCAGCACGTGTGGTAGACGCTCAGTGTTTGGGGAGGGAGGAGGGCCCGCACCGTGCAGGGCGAGCGCAGGGCTGGGGCCAGGGAGGCCCAAGAGCGGCCCGCCCTGGAGGAGACGGTCCCCAGGATTCCCTCTTCTCCCTGACCGCCACGACGGGGCGAGGACGTGTGGGGTCCCGCGCAGCGCGGCTCAGGCTGGGCAGGTTCTGGCTCGCTGGGCCCAGCCTGGCGGGGCCACGTCCGTTCCCGCCCCGCCTGCTGTCTGTGGCTGGAGCGAGAGGGGTGGTGGGGGTGGGGGAGGGTAAGAGATCCAGGGCTCTGACGGGGCGCAGAGCCCTTGGTGTGACTCTGTCCCCGGCATTCTCCTTTGAGTACTTGATCTCAGTCACTCCTCTCTCCACATATTTATATGTTCAGGGTCATTCAGCAAACGGAACACTAGCCATGCAAGGGTGAGGCTAAGAAAACAAAAAACCCTACCCTCGAGGGCAGAACCCGTCCCTCAATCAGTGGGAAGCTTAAGTGTGGGCATATGCTTTTCTGAAATTGGGGCGTAAAGGTGAAAGACAAGCCCCCCGAATGACAAACTCGCGGTGCTGCAGGCTCAACCCTTACGCCCCCCCAGCCACACCGCTCTGACCCCTCCTGGAACCGCCGCGCCGCCTAGCGGACATAAAGGTGAGCTGCAGGTACTGTGCTACTAAGACCACACAAGGGACTCCTCAATATGGTGACCACCTCTGGGCCCCTCTCTTGTCAGCCTCTAGCTTGCCCAGGCGGGTCTGGTCTTGACTCATGCTTTGGGTTGACTCTCACCCTCACCGCAGAGTTGTGTACCTGCGTTGGCTCTCAGCGCCGCCACCCCCCAGGCAAACATCTGTGTTCAAGGTTGAGAGTAGTTGAGTCTGTCTGTCTGTCTGGGAAATTCCCTCAGTGAATCCTTTCTGGGAATTCCTAAATAGTAAGGTTTGGGGGGAGGCCCTGCCCCCGGAGGGCTGGGCTGTCTACCTGTGGGGGTACTGACTGCTTTCCTGCAGTCAGCATTTCCAGACTGGAACTGCTGGACAGCTGGTTTGAGGTTTGGCGTGGGGAAGGCCAGAGCCATGGGGCCTTGGGATGTGTCTAGCCTGCTCAGCCCCAGCGGGCATCCCTGGTAATGGGATGAGGCGGCAGCAGAGGGGTGAGTCCCCGGAGTCTTGAGCCTGGAACCACTTCTGCCCCACTCTCTAAGGGTCGTTGTGAAAAATGAAGTGCACTTTATTAGTAAGCAATGATTGCACATTTTTCACAGTTTGGAAAATAGAGAGGGGGGAAAGGAAAGAGAAAATGTCAGTTACTGTTAACATTTGTTTTCCTTCCCTAGCAGCCTCTTGCTTGTGAGATTTTGTTTGCTTGCTTTTGGTAGCATGATAAATATGACTCATTTCAGTTGCCTACTCCTCCTCCCTTATAACTTTACAACAGAAGATGTTTTCCATGTTATGAAAAATCGCAAATATGTTTTTTGGTGCTAGGGTGAACCTAAACCAAGTGCCTGGTGCATACTAAACTTAAGCTATACCATTGAGCTAGCCCTATGTTCAGCTTCTGGGGCTGTCTGTCAAATTCTGTTAATGACATTCTGGCCTTACTCCTAGACCTGGAATTGATCCCCCCAGCCCCCACCTCCCCACTCCCCCCCACCCCTGCCACTCTCCCCAGTGCTGGAAATTGAACCCAGGGCCTAAAGCATGAGAGACAAATATTCTACCACTAAACTACACCCTATCCCCATGAGATGTGTGTGTGTGTGTGTGTGTGTGTGTGTGTGTGTGTGTGTGTGTTCTAGTCCTAGGGTTTGAACTCATGGTCTGGGCACTGTCCTTGAGCTTTTGTGCTCAAGGATAGTGTTCTACTACTTGAAGCACAGTTCTGCTTCCAGCTTTTTTGGTGGTTAATTGGAGGTAAGAGTGTCATGGAGGGGCTGGGAAGATGGCTCAGTGGTAGAATGCTTGCTTTGCATGCATGAGGCCCTTGGTTCGTTTCCTCAGTACCACATAAGCAGAAAAAGCTGGAAGTGGCGCTGTGGCTCAAGTGGTAGAGTGCAAACCTTGAGCTGAAGAGCTGAGGGATAGTGCCCAGGCCCAGAGTTCAGGCCCCACGACAGACAAGAAAATAAAAAAAGTGTCATGGACTTTTCCTGTTGGGGCTAGCTTCCACCCTGGACCCTCAGATCTTAGCCTTCCAAGTAGATAGGATTACATATGTGAGCCACTGGTACCAGCTTTTTTTTTTTTTTTAACAAAACAAACAGCTGGGCGCTGGTGGCTCACGCCTGTAATCCTAGCTACTCAGGAGGCTGAGATCTGAGGATCGAGGTTCAAAGCCAGCCCGGGCAGGAGAGACCATGAGACTCCTATCTCCAATAAACCACCAGAAAACCGGAAGTGGCGCTGTAGCTCAAGTGGTAGAGGGCTCTCCTTGAGTTGAAGAGCTGAGGGACAGCGCCCAGGCCCAGAGTTCAAGCCCCACGGCCCACAAAAACAAACAAAGTTTCATTATGTTGCCCTGGCTAGCCTCAAGCTAAAGATCCCCCTCCTTCATCCTTTTGAGTAGTTGGGATTACAAGCATGTATCACTGTAACCAGCTCCATATCTTAAGGGCAGCATAATTGTTCAGAGTTTGCACTGTAATGAAAGCCTAGTAGAAATAAACACATTTGTACACATATAATATTCCTTATTTGCTGAGTAGCTGGTTTGATGAATTCTTGGAACTTAGAAATAACTCTGCATCTGACTTTTATCTAACAGGTATTTATGGATTACCTACTATGGGCCAGGCTCTGGATTGGGGCAGGAGATCCTGCACTCAAAGAGTTCATGTTTAGGCATACGCTTTCCCAAATTTTGGAGAGGCCAATTACCAGTACTGCAGAGGGGGAGGAAGGGTGAAGGAGAAAGAGGAAGGGAGAGGAAGAAGGAGAGGGAAAGAGAGGAGGAGAAGAGGGGAGAAAAGGGAAGGGGAGGAGGGAAGGAGAGGAAAGAGGAAGAGAGAGGAGAAGAGAAAAAAAAGAAAAAGAAAGCCAGGTGGCAG